CTAAGTAAGTTATATAAAGACGGTTGTCAAACCATCGGTACGTCAGACGATTCAATCGGGTTCAATCGGTACCCGACATTAAATGATCTGGAAGATCATCGAAATAGGGTGATAGTCAAAATGGAAAATGTAATCGTTCGATAGGAATGATCTATTGGAATAATTAACAAAAAGAAATAAAATTTTTGGATCCAATTATGAAGATTTAGAGGTTGATGTTGTTTGTTGAATTCAAGTATAAAGGTCAGAATATGAGGATTTATCATTTTACTTTTAATGTGATATTTTTATATAAATAAGGGTGTAATTATAGAGAGATCCGTCTTGAAATAAATTATATATATGCACAATTCATTAGTGCTAATGGTTTCACATCTTCCTCACATATTTTTGTCACAACCAGCATCAATCAATATCAAAATTGAAACCCGACGGAACAATACTATTTATTAAACCGAATTAACGAATTAAACCAATTGGACAACCTTACTTAAAGAGTATGCCGCCAACCCTTTTTTATTTTCCCCATCTTTCCTTTGTATCAATTCCAATCCAAAAGTCCTTTTGTCTTTTTGGAACTTTGCAAAGAAAGATCGATCACTTGATCCAACGCATCTAAACCCAATGATCAACTCCCCCATTCCATCGACACAAAATTGTTTTCAGCTAAGTAAATGAAGAATTGGAAAATAATAATAAGGTTATGTTGTGTATATATTATGGTGTGTGATTTGTTGTCCCTTCTCCAACACTACAAAATAAGATTCTTCACGATGCAACATGATTGGCAGCCCATGATTGGTTTTGACTACTTTTTTATTAGTACCTGTTATTAGGAAAAATCTCTCCTTATACTCGTTTGTTTGTTTGTTTATGTGGGACAAAGTTGTTGATCGAAAGTAAATTACATTTTTTTATGAGGTAGTAGTTCATCGTTTCGTGTCTTAGTAGTATTTTTGAAATAGTGTTGATTTTGTTTGTCAGATCGATTGTTCGCTTAAACGTTATGTTGTTGGAAGTCGGGATATCGACGATGCTTATAGATTTGGACTACGTCAACTGAACCAACCATAACCCATCAACCTGTTTGCGATCAAGATTCAAAGTTGTTAGATTTAATTTACAACAATAATGAGGACATGTTCTTGTTTCCATAATGGAAAACATATTAGCCATCAATCCAGGCTTAATCCAGTAAATGATCAGGACATCTATTCCAATCTACTACAGAAGAGTGAAGTTCTACTGTGGAATCAAGCCCACAAGAGAACAAAGCTACTTATTACTTGAAGCAGTTAGTTGTCTGCAATCCCATAAAGCAGAAGGAATTTATATGATAATTAACAGTGTGGAATTCACCATGGCTACTTTTGAATTTGATTGTTGGAGTGAGTGAAAAATGGGGCTTTCATTTTCATACATTCGTCGAAATCAGAGAAAAGGTTAGAGCCTAGAGGTTTGGTTGGCCACAGCCGTGGAAACATCAAGTGTATGGGACAGGGCATACCACTTACAGTTACAGAGTGAGATTAATTCACTAAACATACACAATCATATTTGTGTACAACATTAAATGTCAGTTTGGATGAATTTCGTAAACACATTATCAGTTATAAATTGTATTACAAATAATGAAAAATTATATGAATCTGCTCCAAAATTATTATCATATATTTATGATGTAAATCGTATCATCTTTGATGAACAAGGTTACGCAACGAAATCCAAGTCCATCATATGGGTGATTTATGAGTAAAAGTGGATAATTACTTTTAAGTTCAACTCTAAGCTAATTATTATATTAGACTAATGTTGGATAATATATATACACTATACTTATAGTATGTAGCATTGTACTCATTGAAGGGGTTGTGAGATCAGTTTACATTGCTCGTACAAAAAACACTTTGATTCTCACTTTTTCATATGGGTCGAGGAAACTTTGATGAGAGGTTAGATTCGAATATGAGAGGTTACTTAAACTCTATTTTACGTAATTCTTTACCCCTAATTCATGATGTGTTTATCATTTTTTAAAACTTTTTTTGACAACCCCCCATAGGTTAGTGGTGATGTTATCCCCTTTCGGGTATTAAATGACAAGACATAGTAATCGCTAATTTAAATGGTGGCACCAACATTCCAACAATGTGCCATCTACCATTCCATACATGCCCTTACCTTCAATTCCCTCTTTTAAGATGGCTAAAAGTTCAAACTCCTAATGATGGAAGGAAAACTCACTAGTAGCATGCCCATGATTTTTTTGATCAACTTTACTGAACCAAAAGTAGAACAGAATCATGAAGCTAACACATCCCAAAACTTTAACCCTGACTTTCTTCATCTCCTTTTCCCCCATTGTTGTGGGGAACAGAATCGATTTCCCTCCACAGGCTCAACAATCATCAAGTTCCATTTTTTGACATGGACTAGACACCAACACCCACAAATCAGACACCTTCCTTTTTGTTGATTCTTGTTCCATCTTTAATTTTACATTAAACTGTAGAAAGTAAAAACCTTGAGGGCTTTTGTCATTCATCCTCTCTAACTTTTTCTTTAATTGGCGGCAGGCAGAAGTTATTAACGAATGATACAAGATTCATACTTGGATGATCACGGACAACAACTCCAGTTGCCGAAACAAATTAATCTTTGACTTGGTATCCAAGGGTTTGATCGAGCGATCTCAACTCCAATTACAAAAACAAAATTAACTATTGTCCTGATATCCGAGAATTCGATCTGAGGGATCGAGAAAAGGTAACCCAATCAACAAAACCAAAGGTGAAAAACTACAAGTGGGAAAACAGAGGTGAAAAAGGAGAGATAACTTATTAGTTACAGAGTTTCGTTCACCATGGTGAAAATTTGGAGGACATGTGCAGGTAGAAAGACATTTGCTAGTACTGTGTCTGGGCCAGTTAAAAATAATTGAAGCCCTAGGACTCGAATCAATCGTGACCCGTGTGGTAAGTGTTTTTCTTATGAGAGGATTTTGTAGCAACCAGGAATCTCTGTCCCTGGCTAACTCACATGAATCCAAAAACATTTCAAACACCAAACTTGAAAGGATTTCATAAAGGGGCTTTCAATGTTTTGATGTTTTTCAATCCCCCATTGAAACTTGGCCACTCACTCACATGATGACTAAATGGAAAAGTGGAAAACTGAAGGGGGGAAAAAAAGACATGAACCCATCAAACTAATTAGGAGTTGATTATACTCTAACATAAGTGAAGAGTCGATTTTTCAAGCCACAACCTTTCATTTATCTGGTTAAAATATTGTTTTCCTATAATGGACACTACATATCCAAGCTAATATAACGCAAAAGACTTGCTACAGAAGGTTAAAAAATCCAAGTTACTATACAGGCAACTCTAATCATGATTAGAATTTTGTTTATGAATCACATTGTTTTAATTTGCTAAGATAAATAATACTAGTACAACAGCTTATTTCATATAAATGTTATTACAACACCAATGTTAAATAATTCTAGTTTGAAAGTCATCCCACAATTTGTTTGCGATTCCATCACATCGTATATTCATTGTTCGAGAGTTTTTTTTTAGAGTCATTACCACTTTTTTTTTTGGGAGAGAAACATGAATATATATATATTCGGTCAATTGTTGGTTAACTGTTAACCGACTATTTAGTTATCGATTACACCAAAAGCCCTTCCAACCTATCGATAATCGTACCCTTAACTTATAATCGATTAACTGTACAACCATTAACCGTCAGTTACCGATTAGTTTAACAGTGTAACCGCTAACCGAATATCACCCCTTGTTTTCTAATTAATGTTCAAAATAAAATAGTACCAGTAGTGGCGGAGCCACTTGGAGAGGAGGGGGTGCTTTGGAGAATTTTTTTTCGAGTAGGGGTATATACAAATTCGAACCAATGACCATTCAGTTGCAGGAAGAATTTCTTACCATTTCGACCGAGTGAGTTTTGTTATGCAATGCACTTTTGTCTTTATTTATAGTAATAAATTGTTGTCTTTTGTTTAAACTCGCTCATTTTTTTTTATAGCTCTACAACAGAGAAATTTCTTTTTTGTTTAAACAAAGTTGAAAGTGAAGAAGTACCAATTGAAGTTCACTTGTTTGTTTCACAAAATCAATTCCAAGGTACTTCTGAGTTCTAATTTGTAATATTTGATGAATGGAAGTCTTGATTTGTATGTACTGAACTTATTTGTTTGACGTTGTACCCGATGTACGTGAAACTATTTTAATGTAATTGTATGAATTTAGAGTAGTGCGTTGTTGACTTTTTGTTTAATTTAAAGTTGACTTTTCTATTGTATAGGTGATTTTTTATGATATGATAAAGACTCCCCCTTGACCAATTTTTTGGCTCCGCCACTAAATACCAGTACCATTAACTCGTATATTTTTTAACGATCCTTTTGTTTTCAGTCGCAGCCAGTGTTTTCTTTAGCTGGATGCACGGGTAAACAGTAAATAGCAGCACTTGACTTGAAGATAAAAAAAAAAAAAAAAAAATCTCCACAGAACATGCAGACTAAATTTGTTCCACACACCACGCTTAGAAGTTCGAAGAAAAAGCTGTTTATGTCCCCACCCACACCCCAATTGAAGAAAAGTTGAAAAGAGCTATCTCTTTGTCTTTGTTTCCCCCATTTTTATTTTACCACGGCCACAGCCACAACTGGCATCCCCATTACTCAAAACTAGTAGTACTACTTGCTCCAAATTCTTCCCTCGAGAGTGAAAGCTGAAAGCCTGAAAATGGCTCTCAATTGAACAAAAGCTGCAACCTTTTCCCCACTCTCCCCTGTTTTGTTCCCTCCAATCCACAATGCCGTTCATACTAACCCATTTTTCTCTGCACACTACTGTGCTGAAGTCTCTCTAGCTACAATTTTACTTGTTTGTCAAGTATGAAATGGATGCACCATAACGCCGCACTCATTGCCTTTCTCTATGGCATTTATCTTCTCGATTCGAACACCAAATCTATAGCTACGAAAACTAGTAAGGAGAAATTATGTGAGCCCGTTGGAATATGAATAATACCAATTTGGAAACATAACTTATAATGCAATTAACATAAGGCGGGGTAACGTTCAATTTATGATAAGCAGCAACATTGATATGGATATGAATATGATACGACCTACTGTACATTAATGAGGTAACTAAGTAGACACTTTTTCTAGAGATGACCCAGAAGAGGTCTAGATGGCTAAGTAACAGAGGTAAAAAGAGAGAAGATGGCCCTTTTTGAGGAGAAGGGCCATGAAGAATTGAGGTTAAAAATCAGACCAATTGCCAAAATGGGTAGTGTTAGCAACCACTGCCGCACATGGCTGGCTAATGAAAGGCTCGAACTTTGGATGCAGGGCAGGGGGAAGTGAATTTCTAGAAAGGCTGAGGTGAAGCGGAAGAACAGAGCTCAATGGACCCATAATGAAGCAGCTCCTCGATCATTTGCTCAATTTGGTGATCCTCCAATGGCTTGAACAGCTGCTGGTTGCTCTCCACTTGACCATTCTTGCAATTCACACCGACCCAATTCGACTCTGTTTCATGGACTTGCTCCAATTCCTCTGTTTTCACCCTGGCATTGGCATAAGAAGCTGCCGGGGGATTGGAAGATTGCTGCTGGTGCTGAAGGGAAGCTTGTTTGGTCATTTGGAGCGAGGCCATGTAGCACCTGTGCAGCTTGGCGGTGAGATTGGCCGACAGGAGTTTGGAGGAGGCCGATTGAGGCACATTTGGGTTGTAAGGGAAGTTGGTCCTGGTCCTTGGCCCGCACATCAGCCGAGCCGCTTCGTCGTAAGCCCGAGCCGCGTCCTCCGCCGTCTCGAACGTGCCTAGCCAAATTCTGGTCTTCCTGTTTTCAAATAAGCAAAAACACAAACCAACATGAGAAATTCTGGGGAAACAGGGGAGCGAAACGTTTCGGGGTTAGGAAACAGGGAGTTTCGTCAAAACGTTGGAGGGGGAGGTCTTACAGTAATGGGTGGCGAATTTCGGAAACCCAGGAGCCCCAGTGGCGCTGTCGAACGCCTCTGTATCGTTGTTGCGGTCTGGCCATTTCGGTGAAAAGGGGAAAAGTGTTGCGGAGGAAAGGTGTTTGATGAAATGCCTGAAAGAGGAGAAAGAAGGAATGAAGGGAAGGTGGGGAAGTGGGAAGGTGACGCTTTGAGGGGGGTTTTTGTAGTTGGTATTGTTGACAGAAATGGGAGCAAAGCTAATGGCAAAATCTAATTTTATTTTGGTTTTTCTTAAAGATATTCCTTTGGCTTCCTCTGGGAAGCAATTTAATAAGTAGTTTTTTAATGGGTTTTGGTGGGCTTTGTTGTTTTGCTAGTGATACTTGTGATGAACCGGCTAGAACGAGGTTAGCAACTTAGCGATAATCTATACCGCTAATCAATTTGCTACAAATTAGCTACTCAAGATCAACTTTGTTGTCGAAGTTCATCACTCTTCTTACTGTCGTAATTCGTCATTCGGAGATTTCCAAACCTCATCTTGCCAAAATTGCTACATGTTCGAGATGTTATTCTCTTGATCTGTGATGCAAGATTTTTGAGGTGCTATGTTCGAATGGGATTCCGAAGTCATAATTCGTAATAAGATCAAACGGCATACTAAATGATGATATCATTGGTGGCCCGATTCTTAGAGATTGTTGTGAGGTGTTGTTGTAATAGCTATATAATTAGAGTTTTGTACGATATTTTTGGATTACATTTGAGTTGCTCATACTATTACATAAAATGCCATTTATCAGTATAATATTGTAAATTTGTCGTTATTTGATTTTGTTTTTGGGAAAGGAGGGATTTTCTAGTGTAGCTAAGTTTAGCTTTATTCGACCTGTCTGGTAAAAATAGAAGAAGAGAAATTCGTGGTAAGAGATTCCACAAGTATCATACATTATGCAATAGGCTAAATTAGAATTTCGAGTATCAATTATGTTTATAAGGAAATCAACTATAAATAATCACACTTATGTAAGAAAAATAAGGATAAGACGAACCGATCGATAAAACGAAACCAACAGGTAATTGGTTGTTGCATTGATTAATGAAACAAATATATTTGCATTTTCTCCAAAATGCGAACCCTGACCAAGTTCAGCTCACATGTGATATGTCCATTATAGTTGACGTTATTTTAGTTACCAATTTCCAATTTCATTAGTGAAGAAAAATATTTAATTAATTGATTAACAATGAATTTGTGTAGAAAAATCTAGGGGTCGTAGTCTGATGGATTCTTCATGTGGGATGGCATCCCATAAGCAACTATTTTGTTCTCTCTGCGCCCACATGCACCAATGTTGCATGTGGAAAGACTTTCCTTCTTCTTTTTCTTTCTTTACTTCTCCTACCTTCCAATATTACATTAATCCAATCCAACCAAAACCAGTCTATTTTCAGCTACACAATTTATGCCTTTGAATGTGTCTTTATGCATCAATCTTCGACACCTAACAAATAATTATCGGGAGATTTTGTGGCTGACCACTACTGCAGGGTGATTTTTGAACGATATGTTGATTATCATTGATTCGCTGAAATCCTACGATCTAACATCTTGAAGCGAGGGTGATCAACGCGTGTTGCGATGGACTCGTGCATCACACTAGTTTCTAGTCCCTGCTTATAAATTACTATCCAAGTTAAAAGAGAACTATTTCCAACGCGTGTAATTGTGATGGACTCATTTTCTCTGGATTCGGAAACTGATCCCTGGACCCAACCTTATCAATATTTTTACCTATAAAACCACGATTGAATAGTGAATTTAGTTGTCCGTCTTTCGTATATTGGATCAAACACGATGGTTATTAAACTCCTTGGGAACAACTGCTATCATGTGGAGGCGATTTGATCACAGTGTCGGCATGCAATGAACCAACCCTCTAGAGTTGCATTTGACGAGGGGAAAATTAAGGGAGTAGGGGAGATACTGTATGGTCGTAAAATGAGCAGTTTTATTGTTAGCGACTTCAATTAGTTTGTTGTCATTTCATTAGGAAAAACCAAGTTCTGGGTACAAAACTTTTAATAATTTGGTCAAATTCCAATTAGGGGATACAGAACAGAGATCAAACAGAAGATCCCTGGACAACCATAATTATTGCTCTACCAAATCCAAATCATGATCAAAATCTCATTCATCATAAGCTAGGAATCAAGTCACATTACAACCCGTACAAAGGGCACCTAAGTGGAAAAAATTAACTCCACAATTAATTTTTTAAATTTAAAAGGATCCTTTTTCATCTGGGTCTTTACCTGTTTGGTAAAGAAACCATTTTTCTCTAAATTGGTCTTTTAATTTTATTTGTTTTCATTGTCATTCCCCCATTTGCCAATAATTACCCTTTGGCACACTTTGAAGATAATGTATTCAAATAGGTACCCCAGTTGGATGAAGAAACAAGCTCACGGTTTTGGGTTTCTTTAGAATTTTATTAATATAAAATTTACCTTTTGTTAAGAATAGAAAATAATTCAAGAACATCATGGCTGCTAAAATTGGAAATTTTGGCTTAATGCCAATATGCCATGCCTGAGCCCAGATGATAGGGTAAGAAGTAAAGTAAGAACCCCAAAAAGAAAGAAAAGGACAGAGGTTAAAAAAAATTAATATCAAGAGGGGTGCTTTGTTTGGATCAAGCATTCACTGTTGTCTCACATGCCATGAACAAATCGTTGCTTTCCTTTATGCTTTGGAAGTTTAAATTAGTGTTTTGATGTATCATTTTAGTTTGTATTACAATATTTTTTTAATGGTATATTATCTTTTGATCGTTATAGTTATCAATTTGATCTATAATATTATTTCATTGTTTATGCTCTAAACTGGAACTGTTCAATCTAAGTCGGTTCGATTTTTTATTTAACCGAAATAGATTCCTTACAAGAAATCTTGACACTTTTCCGTAACATATTTTCTAACTGGATTTTACTTGATTGCACCAATAAACCTCTAAGAACCTGCGAATACCCCAAGCTTGTCATGAACCAACAAACACAAACATATATAACAAAGCATGTTAAGAATTCGGTTCCTTCATATCAAATTCGAGTCATTAAAGATTTTTTAGCGACTTCTGCTAACAGTTGCTCTTAATGTTTTCGATTCGACTGTAAAAAAATGTGAACTTATTAATATTCGTCTTTACGGTCGACAGTGCGAATAATCGAGCCCACCCATTTTACCATCCCGACTAAACTACATTCATAAAGAACTCATCACAGTAATGAAGTATGGCTATTAGCTAGTGATATGAGAGTCGGAAAATGTTTTAAATAAGAAGTTTAGAACACTACTCGTGACATGGAATGCTGTTTTGTCTTTACACATGCAAAACACTTGTCCCTTTTTTTTATCCCCTTTCCAGTGTTTCAGTTGAAGTATGATCTAAAGCTAATTTGGCGATATCCCATGCTGATGCATGTAGTTGCAATTCCTGACTGGAGAAAGTTTAATCCTGATCCCAAGAACTCTTTCACATGGGTGGATTCGAAACATACCATGTTGATAATCATCTTTCTTTCCCTGGATTTCTTCTTCTCTCTCCCTCTATCTTATTTCAAACATATTTCCTTTGATCATATCCATAACGAGGAGATCTTACGGGGCTAAGTTTAGGATCCCATTTAACTATGTTTCGCTTACTTAATATATCCAATCAACCAACACAAACTCTCAGTTGGGACGCTTAAATTATTGGTCCACAAATAAAAAAGAGAGAGGATGATAATTACATGAAAGTTTCGAACCGGAATAATGGTGTCATACAAGATCATGATAGAAGATCAGACTCTTGAAAAAAAAAAAAGTCGAGAGAGTAGTACTTATTTCGAGTTCAGAGCAATTTGTGAGGCACTCATTGCAGATCGATCGAATTGTTTCCGCTCGTCCTTACTGCCACTCTATCAATTACGATATCCACAATTTTTTCGCATGGATAATAAAAAACTAGCTAGACCAGCTACTTTTATCGAAAATATGAATTCTACTGATTATTACATTTTCAATTGCAATCAATAATAGTTTTTCAATCCATGGATCTTCAAGAAACTTCACTTCATCAAAACACACATTGACCGGTCTTGATCCCACTTGGAGAAGATGACTCCACATTGGTACACAATGAGGTGAAACTAGTGATGACGAAAATGGAAAAAGGAAGGTAAAAGGACAAAAGAAAAAGGAAGTGATAAATCACAAGTTGTAGAGCACTGATCATGTGATGATGCAAGAAGAACATATTTTTCTCAACTGGGTTTGGATTACAGCTAAACACCAAGCAAGATGGTGGAGATGCTCATTAACAGAAAGTCAAGATTAACGAAAAAGAAAGACAGCAACATCAACAAAATATATGCGCGTTATGAACTGGTTCGATCGGGACCCCTTTACTATGTAACAACAACATGGGTAGTGATGTTGTTTCATTCATACAAAAACATACATAAAGAAAGAAGACAAAAATGCATGTTATTAGTTAGATATATATCTTTCATGATCCTTTGACCTTCCAAAGAGAGACCAAGACCTAGAAATGCGCTCAAATATTTAAACACGGTAGTAGTGGTAGCTGGATGCATGGAGTTTGATTTCTTTAGTTAATCAAAAGCCATCAAGATTAAGGACTCTAGAAGAGTTATGGTCCGAGTCCGGATAGATCCGATCCAACAGTAAAGAAAATTTGAGCATTATAACCGAATCTGAAATATATTTGGTCCGAGCCAAATATTAATTTGCATCGTGTCCTTTTTAATATTCAGAAAGTTTATGATATTGATTATTGATGATCAGACCACATTATATTCGATATGGGAAAAAAGGTTGATTTGGTGCTCTTATTGTTTCACACCCGGCCCCTTATCACAACAATCATCATTCATTGAGCTTAATAATTGGCTCGTTCATACTTTTCATTTATGGCTTTATTGTTACACTCTGGAATATTAGGGTGGTGATCGTGTTTGAGTTAAGGCACGAAACATATTCGTTTTAGAATGTAAGCTAGACTTCTTACAATCAGTGAGACGATCAGGTCAGACTATACTGTCTCACATGTAAAATCTAGTACAAAAGTAGCAAAGTGAGATTTTCTAAAATCTGCTATCTATTGTCGAGATTGTGGAAAATGTGTATCTCTAACCTATATCACAACTTGAGTTCATAATCACTCAACGATACGCAAATTTTACTAAATCCATCCTATTATGATATTATATATGGTGATTCATAAATGAATTATGTGACTTTTAGCTTGAAATTAATTGCCCCAAACAAGGAGTCCGTCACATGCACACAATAGGCAGGACAGAAGAAAATGAGTGTTCATTGAACAAACCCAAGAAGACTAGCTAGCTAACTGATGTATCGATAACGACATTTCTTCTTCTCAATTTCCCCTTAAACCTAATCTTAAATTATCACAAGGGACCCATATTAGAGGGAGTGATGCCAATATTAGACCTGTCCCAACCTCATTGGACCAGGTATTAATTACCTGATCGAGAGTAATATATTGCAGGACATATATATGGCTATATTTCTAACATGTCACGCCCCATTTTATCCGTTCTCGTTCCCTTATATCATTTTTTACATCGATATCTATATGTATTTCTCCTCGTTTAACATTTCTAAAATCATATTTTGATTCCAAAGAAATTTTAAGATTATTTTTCAACTATTTAGACTCAAATAATCATTCTATTATATTTCTCAATCATTTATGAAATATCTTCTCTTTGTGTTATTGTAATTTGTAACAGAGTTAAATAACAATTTATTTCTTTTCAAATACTCATATAACAATTGATGGATCCGTTAAACTCCGTACCACATAAATATTACCCGACCTGACTTGTACTTACTGCCTAGACAAATATTGATATGGAGAAATCTGCGCAGCCTTATTACCATAACTAAATACTAAATAGGGCGGCCAGCCTTTTCAAATACTCATCTTCCTCTGCTGCTTGCGAATACAGAAAAAGCTTGCTGCTTGGAAAACAAGACATCTCTCATTAGCAGCTTGCTTGACGCTGGTGAGATCGATCTCTACCTCCATGACTGTCTATCCTATGTTTACAGAGGCACTGCCTACTTCGGTGTGCAATGATCTTGACAGGTGCAATCGTCAGTTCGTTTGGGGAGAGGAGGATGGGAAGTCTAAATTTCACTCGATTGCTTGGAATCAGATGACGTTGTCAAGGAAGATGGGAGGTGCTGGGATCCGGCCAACAAAACTCGCCAATCAAGCATTGCTGGCGAAGGGAGGGTGGAAGCTGGTCACTAAGGATCAATCCCTCTGGGCTAGAGTGCTTCGGGACAAATATGCTCGATCAAAGGAAGGATTATCAGTTCTGCAGAAACGAAAGGGAAGTTCAATGGCCTGGCGAAGTTTTACTTCGATTATTGAGGTCCTTAAAAAGGGCTATACTATTAATGTTAAGAATGGGCGGACAACTAACTTTTGGCATGACCCTTGGGTGTCGCAGGTACCGTTGATTGATATAGCTACTGAGGAGATATCGGAAAGCAGACAAGCAAAAATGGTAGCTGATCTTTGGGACCCAGACTATGGATGGAAGCTAGAGGAATTTCAAGACAGCCTGCCCCAACACATGATAAACAAAATCCGATTAGTCATGGTTGATCCAATGGCAGCTGAAGATGATCAAGGCATCTGGAACTTGTCCTCCAATGGCCAGTTCACAGCAAGCTCCGCCTTCAAGGCTATCTCACCGCAACATCAGGGCCCTCTTCCACCTTCCTTTTGGCAAAGAATCTGGAAACTCCATGTTCCTGAGAGGGTAAGGGTTTTCATGTGGATGGCCAGCAAAGGCAGACTGACGACCAACAGCATCCGGAAGTACCGTCATCTCACCCAGGACGACAAGTGTCCGGAATGTCCGGATGTTTCAGAATCAAACCTCCACTGCCTGAGAGACTGTGCTTTGGCTAAGGCGGTCTGGTTGAAAATCATTCCTGCTCAGCAGCACACGCATTTCTTCAGCCTTGGATATGAAAATTGGCTTCAGGAGAACATCTCCAATGAAGACAACGGTGATTGGATGGGTGATTGGGCGAGCTATTTCAGCCTCATAACCTGGTATCTCTGGAAATGCAGAAATGAAAGTGTCTTCAAGGGAAAGAAGTTGTCTCCTTCATCCCTCCACAACTATGTCACGGCAAAGGCTAGAGAGTGGAGCAAGGCCTGGAATGAGGGACGATTGGAAGCAAATGCTCATGTCCAACATACAAGGACCGAAGCACTGATTTCATGGAAGGCCCCTGCCGCCGGATGGGGGAAGATGAACACTGACGGGGCGGCTCAAGGCAGCCCGGGAATAGCCTCCGCCGATGGAGCACTTCGTGATTCTCAAGGTACGTGGCTGGGCGGCTTTTGCAGCAAGATGGGTAATGGTACAGCCATTATGGCCGAGCTCTGGGGGATTCTGCAGGGACTTCAGTTGGCTTGGAAGAAAGGCATCAGATTCCTCATTCTCGAATCAGACTCTCAACTAGCTTTGGATCTAATCAAGAACAGGACGGATGCAGCTCATCCGCATGCTACTATCCTCGGTTTGATTCGTCGTCTTCTCGCTCAAGGCTGGGTGGTTCAGCTTGCTCATACGTACCGGGAAGGGAATAGAGTCGCGGACTGGCTCTCGAAGCACAGTCTCGTCTATCCCTTTGGCACGTATGAGTTAGATGAACCCCCTAGTGACTTAAAGAAAATTCTGCAGGAGGACCTTCTGGGAGTGAGCTTCCCTCGGCAAGTCCTGCAAAGGCCCAGTAGGGATAATTGATTTTGAATTTGAGCTTTGCTTGTTTCTCCTCCCTTCGCTTTGGTGTGCGTTTGGGTGACTCTGGTGGCCTTGTAGCCCCCCTGTAAACCTGGCGTTTGCCTCCTTTCTATAAAAAAAATCTTCCTCTGCTGCTTGCTTTCATAAATAAAAATCAAGTGGGCCTGCATGTCTTTGTGTAGTAGTATATAAATATGTAAATGACTAAACTCTAATGATTTTGGGCCCGTTTCTTAATCCAGGACAGGCTTATCTTCTCGGCCCGCATTGAAACCCCTCCAGTCTTCCGACCTATTGGGCTTGCTAGCCAGTAGCCACTGTCCCACACCGCATTTTGCAGAAATCACTGCCTTGACCAATTTATCTGTTCGGTTTTCGGCTTAACGCCTTAACCTTTGCTTCTTTTGGAAGGGCTGAGGGCACATATGTCTTTGTCACGTACCGTCACAGAAAACGTTAATCTATTCATTTCATTCCATTCCATTCCATTCCATTCAATATTTGACCGAGGTAGTCAATACATATTTTGTACCATTTCTGCTTATCATGAAATGTAGCTTACACCATCTATTTAAGCCCTACTGTGTCGATGCGATGACATCGAATCAGACGATCTTGAACATTTGGGCCCATTTAGGCTCGCGCTTGGGCTCGTTTGTCATGACCAAAATTGGGCATAGGTTTCTTTTGAATCATCGCAAGAAATGGGGAGAGGCAGCCGGGTGGATGGCAAATTGGCAACAGAGTATTATATAGTAACGCAAATGTGCATCTGTCGTTAGATAGCGCAGATATGGACAAACACGTATAAATAACAAAGTACGACTCTTACTGCCTACTTTCTCCACAACTACTTCAACAGTGTCAGCCCCATGAATGAATGAATGAATGAATGCTGCTTGCACAACACAAATCCCGCACACCCTTTCACCGCTCAATTCTGGGGGTTAGTTTGCTTGCTGCTGCATTTGCCCGATTCCGCCGCGATATCGAACCATAATCACTACTGGTTCTAGCAGCAATGAGGACGGCGGCGGCGGCATCGTCTCATTTGGTCACATTGCCGTCATGGCACGACAAGAGGCTTCATAATAATCTGCACCCAGGTGATAGATAGCTAGATAGATTAATCAATCGATCTTAACATGTTTGATATGCCAATGACTAATGATAATATGTGAAATTCTTTCTTTCAATCAGCTTGTTGTGTTAAGCTGCGGACGAAAGATCATCATCAGGTGGTGGCGATGAACAGAAACGAGTCACGGTTACACAAGGCATCGAAATTTGGGTGCAATTCGGCCACCAGAGGAATTTGTCGACGTTGCAGTCGGCAGGTAGTGTTTAGTAAGGCTGGAGTGAGTTTGCAGGAAGGGTTTGGCTCGTTTCGAGAGGATGAAGGGAGTTGGCATAGTAGCTTGACAAGTGGTGTGGTGGAGAAATTGGAGGCCTTTTACAGGTTCTCTCGCCCTCACACCGTCATTGGCACTGTGAGTTCCAACATCTTTAAGTTACAAACACTTACACTTCACACTACTGTAGATTGGGTTGTGGTTCAAAATTCACCTGGTTTTGTTGTTTCGATTAGGTCATCGGGATAACATCAGTATCACTGCTTCCCTTGCAAACGAGCAGTGAGATCTCTCCTGCGTTTGTGATGGGTTTGATCAAGGTTAGTGAGAGCTGAATTTCTTGACCTTCTCGAGCATACAATACTTTTGGAATGTTGATACGATTCTGGAGTTGCTTGCTGTGAATCGTTTTGGGCAGGCAGTGGTGCCGTCTGTGTGCATGAACATATACGTAGTGGGATTGAACCAACTGTTTGATGTGGAAATTGACAAGGTAGGTAAAAAAAAAAAGACACATACATTTCTCCTTTTGGTGTGCCTGGTGTTTGTTTAGTTGCAATTACCACGCTTGGTCGGTTGAATTTTGTGCAGGTAAACAAACCCACTCTGCCACTGGCTTCTGGTGAGTTCTCGATGGCAACTGGGGTTACAATTGTTGCTGCATCTCTGATAACAGTAAGTGACTGATGTAATCCATTTTGATTTGAGGATTGGTACTGGTTAATATGTGGCTGATGAACACTTTGGATGCAGAGCATTTACATGGGGGTGAAATTTCAGTCCCCTCCCCTTCTGGCTGCCTTGCTCATTAGCTTTCTGCTTGGGAGTGCTTACTCTGTTGAAGTAAGCTTAAATTTTGCATCAACCCTTTTGCTGCATTGTTATATGAGTAAAGTTTGATCAGTTGAAGGTTTAGACAACACTTAATTGATTAACCCTCTAATCTTGGTAGTCATTTAAGTTTGCTGTTACATGTAGCTTCCGCTTATGAGATGGAAGAGGCATGCATTTCTGGCAGCTAGTTGCATCCTGATCGTGAGGGCAGTCGTTGTCCAACTAGCTTTCTTCATACACATGCAGGTAAACTTGTTCTCTTGCTTCCATGTCCAACACATATCCTCAACAACAATAACAAGGAAATCTATGCAAATGTGTGCAGAAATTCGTGCTTGGAAAACCAGTAGCAATTACCAGAACCTTGGTGTTTGCGACTGCTTTCATGTGCTTCTTCTCAGCTGTCATTGCACTCTTCAAGGTACAAACCAACCCTAACTTCCAAATGGGTTTGCTTTGTCGCCATATATATGTAACTTCTGGCGCAAATACTTTTCATTTTGTTACATTGCAGGACATACCTGACCTGGATGGAGACAGGGACTTTGGAATCCAATCTTTTACTGTCAAGTTGGGACAAGAAAAAGTAAGGTTCTGGTAGAGAATCAATACAAGTAGCAGAGTAGTACTATTTGTTTATGGAATTCTGTACTGGGTGGTTGACTCTATGGCATTACTAGTTTACTACTAATCTTAATGAAACTAGGTATTCTGGGTATGCGTCCAACTGCTGTTAGTAGCGTATGGAGCTGGTGTGTTGATGGGTTTTTCTTCACCATGCCTATCGAGCAAGATAATCACTGTATGTATAATAGATCACAAGGCCTTTTGGATTCTTAATTGCTGCGTTAGAGAGAGTGAGTCTTTGACCAATTGATGCAGGTTGCAGGCCATAGTACACTTGCAGTGATGTTGTGGTTGCAAGCACAATCAGTGGATCTCACCACCAACACTTCCATTACTTCTTTTTACATGTTCATCTGGAAGGTAACTTTTGCCCCCAATTTCTTTCTGGTCACTTCTTTTCTCGTTGTTCAATCCATGGTAATTGATGTTCTTTTCTTTGGATTTTTTCCGCAGTTGTTCTATGCAGAGTACTTCCTCATTCCTTTCATACGCTGACGAGGATCAATATTGTTAAAATCCGAGAAATGCAATGCTTATTATCGATGATGGTCTATGTTGTTTATATTAGGGGCTTTGCTAGTTGTTGAGGAGGAATTTGTAACTCTAAATCCAGTAGTTTTATCCCAAAGATAATTTTTTGACATACTTATGGTATTTTAATGGTTTTATCTTATGTCGATCTCATCTCTTGATTCACATCTAATGAACAATTGTACATGACATGGATAATGTGGAGTAATCAGAAGATCTGATAACTTATCATTTTATTTTTGATGTTCTCTTGATTCACATTTAATGAACAATTGTACATGGATGGATAATGTGGAGTAATTAGAAGACTAAGAAATCTAATAACTTATCATTCTATTTGTGATGTTTGTAGGACGATCCACACAATTTTATCTCATAACAAATAACAACGACGGAAAGATCAATTATATTCCTTAACGAATTATATTACGAAATCTTATATGTAAGTGGATCCATAACAAACAACTTCATAGCATGTGGCCTGTCCTTGAAACATTATGGGCCCAAGTACAGTGCATAACCACAAAGCCCGCACAGAAAAGGCCCACTTAGCGGACTACCAAATATAAAGACCTATAAAATCCCATACTCTCGCTGCCTTAGGGTTTCTTCCTCCTGTATCAGAGTAGCAGCCGCTCCAGCAACATCTCACCGTAGCAGCATCTCGCTAGGTCAACTCCAAGGAGGCGAAAATGGTGGGGGTTTTCTCCAATCTCTTGCTCCCTCCTCATCTTCTCGAATCTCCCCTTCCATCGTTTTGCAATTTAACTTGTACAACTTTGGCTGACCGCCGATGTGCTTCTCGTTCGTTATGAATTTGCACAGCCGTCGCACAAGTCGTTCATGATCAAGAAGAAGCTGGCGAAGAAGATGCGCCAGAACAGGCCCATCCCTTACTGGATCCGCATGAGGACCGACAACACCATCAGGTGAGCGCTCGCGCGTTTTTGTGGTTCCCTGGGTTTCTTTGTGGTGCTAGGGTTTGAATCGATTGGAAAATTTGTTTTTGCTGTGGGATTTTGCAGGTACAATGCGAAGCGCAGGCACTGGCGTAGGACCAAGCTTGGGTTCTAAGGTGTTTGTTTGGGTTTTATTTCAATTCCCTTTTCTGTTGGAACCCTTTTCTGTTTTTTCCGAATGAATTAGCAGTGGTTGAGGATAGTATTGAACAATCTGTACTGGGATTATATTTTTGTTCTGGCGCAAAGTTTCTATGCAGTCTGTAAGGGTTTCATTTCGATGATTCTCTGTTAGTCACTTAATTGTCTTTCTAGTTTGATTTTGTGCAATTGAATCGTGTTTGGCAAAGCATCATAGGCTTCTGTGGATCTTACAGTTATCTTGCTACGTTGGTTGTGAGAACGGATCGATTCCTCTGTGCAAGAATAGTCTTCCCCAATATTATTTTGGATTTGTTTCCCTACTCTGTTCCTTCTTTCAGATGGTCAAGTTAATCTAGGGTTTCATCTCTTTTGGGAAAGAAAAAGAGAGATGGTGCAACCGTGTTTGATCTGTGACTGTATCACTTCATTTATTTGACCATTATCCTTGTGTTTATCGTATTGAAGTTTAGAACAATTTGCTAAGTTTGACTACTAGAGAGTGTCTATTCTCCTAAGATCGTCTTTTGAGTTTAACTTACCAACTGCAACTTTGCACTTAACTCATGCCAGTAAGTATATGTGTGGCAAATACAGTGTGCATAATCCGGCAAACTACTAGATAACCTTGCAGAATCATGGCGCTGTGCCTGGAAATGATGATTGAGAAACCGTCGAGCAGATTAAGAACTCTGACCTGCTGTACTTGTGATGAGGCAGACGATGGTCTTTCATCTTTTGTGTTTCTGGACAGAAGGGCCAGTTGATTGCTGTTGGTGAATGAATGTGTTTCCAATTAAAAGTAGGAGTTGATTGATTGTACCACTTTCTTAGTTTCTTTATAGTTGGTGGGCACAAGAAGGGTTTGCAAAATTTGGTTTCGAGTGCATGTTTAAACATTATAGCATGATTTTCTGCACTCTTTTGTGGTTGATAAAAGAGTAATCTTTAGCGAGGAAGCCTAGCTGAGGGTAAAAGAGTTTACTGAATATTACATTAACACCTTTTAATTAATGAATTAATAATACATACATATATCATCCTTACAAAAAAAATATACATAAATGACGGTAAGCTGCACATAATAACACTGATTAGACCAACGAAATACAATTCAATTTAGCAACCCAGAGACGTCGAGTTTATGATGAATCGGTGGACAAGTGGCGGCAGCAGATCCGGAGAGGGAGAGCAAGAACTCGCGGGAGTAGTGCCGGCGTGGTCGAATCTCAGTTGCTGCTTTCGCAATAATGGGGGCTTCTTGCTCTGTAATCGTGCCTTGAGCGGGAGTGTGCAGTCCGCCGGTCAAGAAAGAGGGGAGAGGCAAGGAATCCGGTGGCGGTGAAGGCACGAAGAAGGACGCCCCGCTGTAGTAGACTACTTTCTTCTTCTCCGTGCAGTTAGAATCAGAGCGTTGTCGTTGGCACTGCAGCTTCTTGTCGGTCGTGGTGGTGGTCGTCGTTGTCTTCTGCTTCTTGGCTAGATTCTGGCGGGGAGGGGACGGTGACTTCGATGGTCGCGGCATGACTGAGTTGATGCTGGAGCTCTTTTGACTGCTTGATTTCCGGTCATAGCCGCCGCCAATGCGGCTGCAGATGGGAGTGGAGAAACCGAGTCGGGGTTGTAGGAGGCGCTTCGATGGCGGTGGAGTGGGGAGCAGTCCACCGCAGGAAGGTTTGAACACCATCGATGTCGGCGGTGGAGTTGGGAGCAGTCCGCCGGAGGAAGGGTTGAACACTATGACCGCCATTCTCAGGAAACGAGAAGGACTAGCTACGGAAGTAATTGAGAAGACGGCAGAGCAGAACGAATGGAAAGTGGAAACAGAGAGTTTAGTGTTAGCAACAGGGGAGAGGAGTGTGAGGAAAATGAGAGTTGCGTTTGGTGGCTTTATTTTTATAGGCTCTCAGTCTGACGACTCCTTTGCTGTGTGGAATTCGGTTTCCTCTTTTTCCCTCTGCTGCCATTTTGGGGTTTCCGTTTCCGTTTAGGATTTCCACATTCGGACAATGAGAAAGGCTGGAAACAGTCAACTCTGGCTAGCCCATTTCGAGTTTGTAAATTAATGGGCCAACTCCAGCCCAGTCATCATCGGATTATCCTATAAAATGAAAAGGCTTTTTGTATTGTGAGCCAGGCGCGTGAGGTCCATGTCTCAGAAATTTGAAAAAGCAATAAACAAGATAGGGGGAGAATCCGAAATCAGAAATCAGAATCTCACGAGCTTCCCACCAGGCACCAAGGAATTTGAAAAGAAAGTAGAAAATTGGCCACAAGTTCTTTTTTTTTTTTCGTAATTAGATTTAGATGTATGCCAGAGCTAATTCGATTCTTCAATTTTTCTAGCTTGGTTGTTTCGGTAGATGAAATTTCTATTTGGTCAAATTGATTCTACAGCATTTTTTAGGCGGTTTAGTAAACATAGACTTCCTATTTCATAATCATCACAAGTAATGTAAATTTATGTGTCTATGAATAAATTTGATTTTTCCATAACATCTATGGTTTTTTAAATTGTCGATGTTTTGTGTCAAAACACACTTAAACGATTTAAGAGCCATGTTTGGATCACTTGCACATAATGGAATTCATGGTAATCAAGATTTATCTAAAAGGAACCTAGAGTGATACTAATCACTTGCTTGCATGTTTGATAGAAAGCAAACAATTGTTAAATTATTATCGGGAACTCGATCACCAATAATAGAAGAATACATTTTAAATATCCACTAATGGTAGATTTTAGAAACTATTGCTATGTGGAAGAAATTTAAGATTTGCAGTTTCCTAAGGTTAGAAGATACGATGTGATATATGAGATTTTGAGATAAATTCTAGTTGTTGAAACTTGTAATTCAACTTTATAGAAGGTCACACAATCTTGATTCATACAACAACAGACAACTAAATTTAATGACTATATTTGGAAAGGTGTGTAGGTGAGGGGAGAGGAAATACAAATCTTATCAAATTTACTTCTCCTAATTGCCAATTAGGTGATATATATTGTTTTAACCCATTGTAAAATTTATGGATCAAAGGGACAAAATTAGGGAAGTTAAAGGTTCAAATTGACCTTGTTGTCTTAAAATATATGCAAAAAATAACCTTCTGTTTCTGCTGGCTCGCCCAACAGGCCACTCATCATCGTCTTCGTACAAATCGCCTCTCCCCACCATTTCATAGTTCCCTTCTCCTTTATTCATCTCATCTCCCAATCCAAGCAGCTGAAAACAGCAGCAGTAGCATCGCCATTTCCCCAAATACAGTCGAGTCGAGGCATTTCTCCCCTCTCTCTCGCAGGTAAACATTTTGCTCTCTTCGTCTCCCCTTGGGAATCTCTTCCTTTCTACCCCCAATTCGTGATCCATTCTCATTTCTTCTGGTAGCCATCAAGCAAAGGGTTTCCCCGGTACCAGTTGCAGCCACCGAGCTGCATCCCCAGCTCTGCGAAATCTGATTTTTCCCTCCTCGTTGTGTTTTCAGATGGCGTCCAGCGTTATCTCTGCTGCAGCTTCTGCATCTCCTTCGGCTTGCCCTGTCACTGACCTTCTCAAGGTAAATTGTGATCCCTGCCCTTGTGACTCTGAGACGGATTGAACAACTCGTGGTTTCGCTCAGATCATCGCTTATGACTTTTAGCATATAGCATAGATGGCACTAGATTGATTGATGCTAAAGTGATCATCTTTTGAATTGGGTCAGTATACTATGTGCGTCTATGTGAGTAACCGCGGTTCCTTTTACCAGGGGAAGGCAAAACTTGGGAGTGGCAATGTCGGTTCTTTGTTCATCAAGGACAAAGGCAATCCCTTTCTGAACTCAAAGGTACTTACTTTCTGCTTGTGGGTTTGTGATTTTCTTTCCCCAATTAAAGTAGCAATTCTGTGTTACACTGAGATGGTGGATTAATCGGGGGATTATGGCTTGTGCTTTTGGGTTTGTAACTTACTGAGTTTTGTTTCGGCTTTTTTCTCGCTTGCAGTCTTGCGGGAGGATTACTATGGCTGTTGCTGTCAATGTCTCACGTTTTGAAGCCATTACTATGGCTCCACCTGACCCCATTTTGGGAGTTTCAGAAGCTTTTAAGGCGGACAATGATGAAAAGAAACTCAACCTTGGAGTTGGTGCTTATAGGACTGAAGAGCTACAGCCTTATGTGCTTGATGTTGTTAAGAAGGTGAGCTAATTTTCATTTCATTCAATCTGGTGAATGTTTTCCCAAATGACAAACTGGTTTTGTCTTTTCTTCTTCAAACAGCTGAAATGATTTGTTGATTGGTTTTTGCCCCAGGCGGAGAATCTTATGCTGGAGAGGGGCGAAAATAAAGAGGTATCAAACCTGCGTCAATGAATTGAATGATTATTCTGTTTTCTTTTTAATGATAATCTAAATTGATATTCTTAGTTGACTTGTCTTTGGCTGATTTTGCTTATTTGATCGCAGTATCTGCCCATTGAGGGGTTAGCAGCATTCAATAAGGCGACTGCAGAGCTGTTGTTTGGAGCTGACAGCCCCGTGATCAGTGAACAAAGAGTATGTGCTATAATGTTGCAACCTTATATTTTTGCTCTTCACCTACAGTTACCAGGCTTCAATAATGCACTTATTAATTATCTTTCGCATGAAACCAAATTCAGGTCGCCACAATTCAAGGTCTCTCCGGAACTGGATCCTTACGGCTAGCTGCAGTTTTAATCGAACGATACTTCCCGGGTGCAAAAGTTTTGATTTCCTCTCCAACTTGGGGTCAGTAATGTTTACTCGCTTGAGATCATTTCTTATCCTTCCTGAAGATGGGTAACTAACATACCCCCCATATTTCCAGGCAATCACAAGAATATTTTCAATGATGCTAGAGTTCCATGGTCCGAGTACAGATATTATGACCCAAAGACAGTTGGTCTGGATTTTGAGGGCATGATAGAGGACATAAAGGTAAGTTCTTAAGAATATTACATTGTTTTTCAATCAATGTACACAGAATAGAATGAATTCAACTTCAAATTTTCTACAAGACATTCAGCTTTATTGGATTTCTCCTTTTAGGCCGCTCCTGAAGGATCATTTGTGTTACTTCATGGTTGTGCTCACAACCCAACCGGCATTGATCCAACCCCTGAACAGTGGGAGAAAATTGCAGATGTTATTCAGGAGAAGAACCATATCCCCTTCTTTGATGTTGCATATCAGGTATTATATCCTATATATCTTTCACTTTTGTTAACCTCTAAACCCCTTTTCTCCAACCAATCTACCTATTGGGCTTGATAACACTTGAATGTGTAACTCAGGGATTTGCTAGTGGGAGCCTTGATCAAGATGCAGCATCAGTAAGACTATTTGCTGCTCGTGGCATGGAAATTTTTGTTGCTCAGTCATACAGCAAAAATCTGGGCCTCTACTCCGAGAGAATTGGTGCTATCAACGTCGTCTGCTCATCTTCGGATACTGCAGCAAGGTTAGAATCCTCTCTTAATTATATAAAAAAGCATCAAGTTACTGTTTGCCAGCTGCTGAAGAGTCTCGCTAATTATTTTCCCCTTCTCTCTTCATCATTTCATTTTAACTCACAGGGTTAAGAGCCAGCTGAAGAGAATCGCCAGGCCAATGTACTCCAACCCTCCAATTCACGGGGCTCGAATCGTGGCCAATGTCGTTGGAGATCCAGCTCTCTTTGGTGAATGGAAGGCTGAGATGGAGATGATGGCTGGGAGGATTAAGGGAGTAAGACAGAAGCTCTACGACAGCCTGACCTCAAAGGACAAGAGTGGAAAGGATTGGTCTTTCATACTTAAGCAGATCGGCATGTTCTCATTCACTGGCTTGAACAAAATTCAGGTAACTAATCAATCAGCAACCCTTCTTCTATATCATAAATCAATGAATTCTCAGTGAATGATTCGAGCTTTGTCGACTATGTTTATGGTTGTGTTGACTGTTTGCAGAGCGATAATATGACGAATAAGTGGCATGTGTACATGACGAAAGATGGGAGGATTTCATTAGCTGGACTGAACTTGGCCAAGTGCGAGTACCTTGCAGACGCCATTATTGACTCATACCACAATGTCAGCTAAATCTCTGTGCATTCATCGTCACGCAACAGCCGGTAGAACCGTAGAGGCCGAGTATTCAAGTCTTTTTCTTTGTTGAGTTGATTCTACTGCGACCTGTATGATTTGGTTACTAATAATCCCTTGTTTCTCTCTACCACCTTGTATCTGGTTGGTTGGGGAAGCCTATTGTTACACCGGATTTTTTCAGCCTAGTGTAGGAAAAGCTATGTGTACCCAAGAGGAAAGGGTATTGGTTCTTGTTTGTTTTATCGACTTCATTATATGGCGGGGGCTTTGGTTATATATATGACAGAATAAAAGTTTCTCAACTTCCACTGAAAAAGTGAAGACGTTGAGTATTTGTTTTTCCCATGGTTGTCATGCCGGTGGCATGCCACCCGGTTGAACCTGGTTCAACCTGTGCCGGTCATGAAACCGGCATGACACCACCGGTATGATTGGTATGATCGATTTACATATTCTAAGCAAATTAACATCATTTTAATGAATTTAATTAATATAAAAATTAATTTATCATTCATTTTATGAATTTAATAGTTAAAAGTTGATGATATTTGTTGGATTGTAACTTAATTGTCCACAAATATGTTTTATATATGATTAAATACATTGAATATTAATTGTTTTTACACTTTTTTAAACCGGCATGAACCGGCACAAACTGGTTATACCACCGGTCATACCATTCCACTTGTCAAACCGGCACAACGGTATAAACCGATTTGACAACCTTGGTTTTTCCCCTTGAAAACCTTGGGGTTGTCAATTGTAGGAGTATACGCTCATTGTTAGGATGACAATTTCGACCTGACCCGTTTTACCCGACCTGTTTGATCTGTTTTGGGGCGGGCATGAGTAGTCTCATCGACCCGACCTGTCCTAACCCGCCCCATTCTCGACCTGTTCTTGTCTAAATTACATGAAATCTTAGTCAAATTACTTTGAATTTTACTTTTATCGCATCATATTTTAGCTATAATAAAGTTGTAAATTAGTGAAAACCTCAATTTCTCCAATAATTTAAGAATAACTACAATTGTCATAATATTGTTTATTTTCTTAGTTTTATAATAAAAATAACGAATATTTCTAATATTTTTTAAATAAATTGCATACCCATTGGATCGACCTGCCCCGACCCGCGACCCGTGATCAATTACCCGACCTGGACCCGCCCTGCCACGGGGCGGGTCTGGGTACCAAGAAACCCGCCCCGTACCTGCCCCATTGCCATTCCTACTCATTGGTTTCTTTGGCAATGGTTTCTAATAGACTATTGATTTAGAAACCAGTAGGTCGGATCGAAAATATTGATATCAAACTCAAATTAGTAGAAAGTTTTAGTGATAGTAAAAAATTAACTACCGTTAAATCAAGATATTAGCACAAAATACACGTTTATAAGAACCGAACCGGATCAACGGCTAGGCCAGTAGAATCGCCAAACCAATTATGATAGCTGTTCGGTTCATTGTTTGGACGGTTATTGATGGACCAAACGGTTTTTCAGGTCTCAACATAAAACCATATGAACCACCACGGTTTAACTGGTCCACTAGGTCACTATTTTGACCACAAACATTTTTAAAAAAATTCTTTAACTAAACTAAGACCATCAACCATAATCTGCTTCCTCTTCTCATTTTCCAACCTTGTTGTCGACTTTACGTGATTCGCTATCGACTAGCACCGTAATTTTTAATTTGAATTAAAAACTTGTGATTTTTTTTGTGAGACTGTTTGAATGATTTATTAGATATTTTGGTGATGATATGAATTTGAAATTTTTTATGGTCAATGATAACTTCATTCTTAAATTAGTGTAATATACAAGTCTTGTATGTTACATATCATGAAAAGTTCTGTTAACGGTTAACCAATGATTTTGTAACGGTTAATCACTGAACCCTAAACCATTAACTTTTCCAATTCAACATCTGGTCCAATTCTGAAAACATAGCAAAATACCCTACCATTTTCCTTTACTATATAACCTCCGATACCATCTCGCAATCGATTTGCTTCCTCGCCTAATCCTCAAGCATCTCAAACCGTTGGTTAATGAATCTTATCCTATCACCTCCGAGAAACTGATTTGGTGCCTCGAGCTCAATGATATATAGGTTTCATGGTGTCAACTTTCCAACACCTAAAATGGTCAATCAAACAAAATAACCCTTACATCTTCCCATGAAGCTAGTTAATCCAATTGAGTGAAATACAATCAATTCCTTAACGAGCTCCTTCAATTCAAGAATAAAGAACCATCACACAAAGCGACAAACCTATTAAACCCTGGCTTAGAACGCCAATTCAGTAATTCGCCGAGGGTGAAGGACCATCAATGGAAAGTCTAGTACTCTGTACACATAAATAAATTGGCTGCAAATGTAGCTTTCTCAATGAGCGTTCAAAATTCTACAAAACGTGGAAGAAAAATTCCCAAACGTGGAGGAACTCCTCTAACCCTACCAAATCTCTACCCGAAATGAACCAAAAGGGTATTAATAAAGATTCAAGCTCGTTGACCGAAAGAAACAACCCATATACAGAAACAGTTCAGTTTATTATCATCAGCAAGTTACTGCAGACTGAGTGGTCCTAAGCGTCCCTCCTAGTTCGACTGGAAGCAGAGGAATCAACGAATGCACCACGTCGGTTATCAGAGGCCGGTACGAGGGTTCTGGTTGCACACATAGCACAGCAACAGCTGCAACCTGTAGAGGATAAGAAAGCAAAGGATTCTCCAGAACCTTAGAAGGTGCCTAAGTTTAATAATCATTTTGCTACTTGAAGGAGTAGAAACTGGTTACAGACCTGGAACAGGTACTTCTCATCAATGGTGTCTTTAATCACAGGATCCACAATGTTTGGGAGCATGTCCCTGTTGGTTAGCTGAGGCATGGCCTACAATTTTTAAAAACAGCACACCATCACTCTTATAATTGAGCCATTGAATCTAATGACAGTAAATTTGTTTATTGGGGAAACCCAAAAAAAAGCATTTTAATTTATCCTCAAGATGGGAGAAATGGTACATACCCATGTGACAATAGATTGGCAATGAGCTGGTGCCAGTTTCTCGACGGGTCTTCTTCCCAATAGAAGCTCTAACAGAACTATTCCAAACGCATATACATCACTCTTCTCAGTCAACTCCCCTGTGCCAATCAACATAACATACAATTTACTATACAGAAACACCAATGGAAGAAGAAGAGCCCAAATGCTGGCAATGGTTAAAGAATTGCTTACCATCTAGCATGTACTCGGGAGCAACGTAGCCCACAGTGCCGGAAAGTTTAAGCTTGTTCTTATTATGGGTGCTATCAGCCACAGCTAAACCGAAATCTGAGAGCTGCATTACAGGTCAGGAGTGTAGACAGTTGAACAGATGAAGGATGGTGGTGGGTATAAATAATTGAAATGAACAGAGAGATCACTGAGTTATGTCACCTTAGCGTGGAAATTGGAATCCAAGAGGATATTGGATGATTTCAGATCTCTATGGATCACTAGTGGCTTGCAGTACTCATGCAAATATTCTAATCCTCTGAGTCGACAATTGGGATATAAAAAATGTGACTGGGTGTCAGAAACAAAAAAACAACAGAAGGAAAGAGGATCAATGGTTCATAAAAAATCCAGAGCACATAGCTCAGTAAGTAGCTCACCTTGCTGTATCAAGAGCGATTTTCAGCCGCATATGCCAAGTTAATTCAGATCCTCGAGAAGGTCCTGAAATCCATAACACAACCCAGAAGAAGAAAAAAAAAGACAAATTATTGGCCTTCCTTCTTTTTTTCCTATTATGAAAGTCCAGTCACGGCTTGTTCTTCCATTAAAGACAAAATTATAGCACTAGGACGGAAATATTTACCATGCAAAAGATCTTCCAGTGACCCATTAGGCATCAACTCATAGACAATGAATCCAGAACCCTCATGAACACCGTAACCCACCAAGGAAATGATGTTTGGATGCTGAAATCTGCTCAACAAGTCCACCTCATTCTACAAAGTTCCATACTGCATATGAATACCTGAACAGCAGTACTAGTACTCTTAACAAAGAAACAAGTACAAAGAGGGAGAACAGCCACCTGAAACTCTCTTTTCGCATCTTCAGTTGCACAGTTGAGTTTCTTCACCGCGACTGCAGAGTTATCATCCATAGTGGCTTTGTAAACAAGTCCAAATGCACCCCTACCCAACAAATTCTCCTCTACAAAATTTTGTGTGCCTTTCTCCAGTGTCTTGTATTCAATCAATGGAACACATCCCCTGTTGCTAGGCATCCTCAAGGAACGGAATTTACTGAACAAGACCCCTTTCTCTGCATCTTCATACTCAAAATAAAACCCCCCACAAATCAATATACCACATGTTAGCACTAGCTTGTAAATAAGCATATCATTCATCAATGGACTTTTTTTTTCTCTGTCTCCAGCAAAATTCATCAATCAAGTTTCTGGTGGAAAAACTAATACCTCCTTTTTGGGCCTTTTCCCTCTTCCGAAGAACTTTCCAGTAGCAAATGCAACCAGCAGATACGAAGAGAAAGATAATCACAGCCATGATAGTGCAAGCAACAGCAAGTATGATGTGCGTTTTCTTGTCCAACTCCATGTGCTTGTGGTGCCCTGCTTCAACTCCCAGCTGCAATTGACTGCCTGCTCAAGCAATGAAAGTCAAAACAAGATCTAGCACAGAGAGAAAATCGGGCACAGGCTTGAAAGAACAAAATCTTTGACAACTTTGATCAAACACCTGGCGGGGAAATTCTCATCTCGCCAAGTTTTAAAGCCAGAGAGAAGAAAGCAAACTACCCAATTCCCAGGCAACGAAAATTTCCAGTATACGATATCTTAAATGCTCCCCCCGCATTTAGTTCCTTCACAGATTTCATAGCATTAAACAAATTTTGAATTTTGAAAAGGGGTTGAACCAACCCACCAATTTTTGCATTTCAAACAGGGACACGAAACCCGGATTTTAAAATCACCCAAAAATAGCCACTGAGGTTTACCAGGAGAGAAGGCAGCCATTGGAGTAGAATCCTTGGGAATAGCAGGTAGCGAAGCAGGAGATTGAGCAACAACAAGTGGTGAAGGAAGAATAACATCCGGAGCGGCGTGAGCTGAGTCGAAGGAGACAAAAATCCAAATGGGCAAGTGCACAAGCACCAGAGAGCGAAGAAGATGAAGCAATTGCTGCTTCCCCTTGTGCTTCATTGTCGGTTTCTTCCCTTCTATACAAAATCCAGATCACATGGAGACGACAATGGCGGATAGGGAGAGATACACTCGACCCCCCACCACGGCTATCCCACTTATCAAGAAAAGAA